TTCTCTTAATGAGCCTCAGACTGTACAAACTCCTCCAGGCTGGGCCAGAGGTTTTCCAGCAGGGTGGGGCAAATACTCACCCCCCTGCCCCTGCAGGCAAAAGCAGCAAAAAAAGTCTGCCTGAGAAAGATGTCCTCTGCAGTATGGGGGAATGATTCGGCACAGGAATCCAGATGAGTGCCTCCTGATCTCAATCTCCAGAGCCCACAACCCTAGATTCTCCTCACACAGTTCCAGTCCACTCTGCCCTCCCTCTGCTGGGGCCCAAGGTGAGTGGCTGCACATGAAACTTTGTGCATTGGCTCTTTAAGAGGGTGCCTGCATTTCCAGCCGTCTCCCCCTGGCCGACAGAAACCCAGCTGCTTTTCACAACCAGATGTTATGTGGGTACCTCTCTCAGTTCTGGTACTCCTGGCCGGGAAGCCCAGGCTGGGATTTAGGCTCCAGAGTCCTCAGTGGGAACCTCCACAGCTGAGATATCCCTCCAGACTTTCAGCTGCTGCCTGTGGGAGCCCAGCCAGCCATCTCGCACCTCTGCACTTCCTACCAGTCTCTATGTGGTCTCTACTTTTCCTCCTTGGTTATGAGGGTGCTCACCAGCTCATCTTCAGTTGCAGTTGATTATTCAGGATGGTTTTTCTGTTTTAGCTGTAATTCCAGTTTGTTTCCGGGAGAGTCAGTGTAGCTTCCACTCAGTGTGCCGCCATCTTTAATCTGTCAGGTGGTACTAAATTAAACAATTAGATTTCTACAACAATGTCTGGGTAATACTTCCTTAAAAACAAATTTTAAAGAACTGGGATATTGTGATCCTACGTTTGAGAGTTTTACCCTTTTCTATTTTATCTTCTCCCATCTGAGTACCTAATACTTACAAAAGGTTATTAATTTTACAAAGCATTTTTTAATATAGCATATTTCTAAAATCCAAGTAAGTTTGAACTAATTACACCTTAAGTAAAGTGTACGCATATCAGGCATTTGATTTCTCAAGGCCTTTGAAAACAGGAGAAATATCTTGAAAGATGGTTTAAAAAACAGGATCACAGGCTAGATTACAAATTTGGGAGAAAATAATTCAGACTCTCTAAGAACAATCTAAAATACTCTGTGTCTTTCCTTTCCTTCTAGGGACGCACATGTAAAGTACATCATATCAATGAAGTTCCTCTCTAAAGAATACACATAACTATATACCATAAGCCATGAGCTGCTCAGACAAAGCTTGGAACCAAATTCCACCAAGATTATCTCACTCAAATAAGTCTCATTTAGTTAATGGTACAAGGGACAGTGTTTTAGCTCAACAATGTCCAGTAACAGTTACTTACAGGCAGTATGTGAATCGAAAGGCATATGTATTTGTGCTATCCCAGTTAGCTAGACACAAGAAAAACACAATCCTGTCGGATATTTGATGTACTTAAGTAGATTAGCATGATGGAAACCACTTGCTCCTAAAACTCTTCCACAGTTATCTATATGAAAAATGCCCATTATTATGGAGTATGTCTGACCCCTGGTTCCTGACCCATAGTTCATTCTCAAAACAAAACCGCATGTAGACCCTGAAATGTGTAATAATGGCTTATATTTTTGTTAAAAGTACACAACAGTATACAATTTGATCAGCAATATTCAAATTGCTCACTATGGAAATGAATATTTTTTGTTTAGAAATTTAAAAATCTTTACATTCCCAATTTACTCACAAAACACATATACTCACCCAGGGCAGGGCCCCCAAAAATATGAGTAAAAAAACCCTGGGGGAAAGAAGACTTTAAAAAAAAAAGTTTTTTAAAAAATATATCTTTATTGATTTCAGAGAGAGGAAGGGAGAGGGGGAGACAGAGAGAAGCATTGATGATGAGTCATTGATCAGCTGCCTCCTGCATACCCCCTCCTGGGGAGAGAGCCCGAAACCCAGGTATGTCCCCTGACTGGGAATTGAACAGCAGTTTCCTGGATCATAGGTCAATGCTCAAGCACTGAGCCACATTGGCCGGGTGAAGACTTTTTTTTGAATCCCCACCTGAGGATATGGTCTTTTTTTTAATCCTCATTGGAGTATATTTTTTCCATTGCTTTTCAGAGAGAGTGGAAGGGGGAGAGAGAGAAACAGTGATGTGAGAGAGACACATCGATTAGTTGCCTCCTGCACACACTCCAACCAGGACGGGAGATCAAGCCTGCAACCGAGGTATCAAACCCGAGACCCTTCAGTCTGAGGGCCAACGCTCTAACCATGGGCCAAACCAGCTAGGGCAAGATGTTCGTATTGATTTCTGAGCGAGAGGAAGGGAGAGGGAGAGAGAAACATCAATGTGAGAGAAACATCAACCAGTTGCCTTCTGTGCAGGATCAAACCGGCAACCTGGGTATATATATGCCCTGACAGAATCAAACCCGTGATCTTTTGGCGTACAGGGGACGACGCTCCAGCCAACTAAGCCACACTAGCCAGGGAAGACATTTTTTTAAACTTGCTAGTTACCTGCACTAGTACTCACATTCAGCAACTGTGCTCGCCTTTTCTGCTTTCCCTCATTACTATGTATGACTATACATGAATGGCCATTCCACTGATGCTCTATTACCTACCCTACAATTGCATCCTTGGTGCAGCATCAGCATATTCTTTCCTCTCTGCTGGATGACACCCACCAGCATATTATCATGCTCAAGTATCTTCCACTTAATAAAAAGGGGAAAAAAGACACCACTCCCTCACCCCAGTTGACCCACAAATCCATTTCTCTGCATCCCCTCACTGTAAAACCTTGAAGGGATTTAAAGTCTCTAGCTCCACTTCCTCTTGTTCTCTCTTTAGTCTCCTCCACCCAGATTTCTATCCCTACTGCTCCATTCAAACTGGTCTTGTCAAAGTCACCAAAGACCACGGTCATTTTTCTGTCCTCCTCCTATCCCATCAGGGAAGTTCACCACCTTTATGAAATTTCATTTGTTTATTTCTGTCTTCCTTGACTATTAGGTAAGTTCTAAGAGAAAAGGGACCCCACTGAAAAGTTTTTACTGATGTATCCTCTCCATCTAAAACCACACGTGGCAATTTGGAGAAGGCATGTAATACTTGAATGACCAAGCTTGCTAACCTAGGAGGAGCAGGAAGGCTGGTTCTCAGCTCAGGTAGGGAACACGATCTTTTATGATAATCATGAAAACAAATTCCACCGTAAGAAAGGGCATGGATTCCCATGGAGCTCTCTCTCAGATGGAGCCTGTCAGGCAATTTCCTTTTCCCATCTTATCTGTATAGCTCAAATACCATAAAGGCTCTATAGCTGCCACCCTGTGAAGTTCATTTAAAAGAGGTATAACACAGAGGAACATGCCTATTTCTACATGCGAACAAAAAGTCAATTTAGTGTCTGCCAGGCTGAAAGGTGGGTCGGCACTAAGGAAATTCATCCACTTTCTCCCACCTCTTCATCAGGCCAGGTCCTACTTAGCTTTCAGGAGTCAAAGGAGCCCCCAAACCCTAACTTCAGCTGCACATCCCCTGAGTTCCCACATCTCGCGGGCCTCCCTACCTCTGAGTAAATGCTGCTGTCTCCCTGGACACACTCTGGTTCTAGAAAGCAAGGGCCTCGTATTGGTCAGCCATATCGTTGGCCCACTGCCTAGCATAAAAAAAGATGCCATGGATGTTTGCTGACTGCATGAGTGAGGGGGCAGCCGCCACACACCAACCTGCCTTGGGGGCGCCCAGAATCGCACCGTCCGTGACCCTAACGTGTAACATTGACCCAGAGAGCCGGCTGAGACGCGCGGGCCCGGGTTCTCCAGAACGGTTTCTCTCGGAAACATGGGCACCCACCTCGCTCAGAGTAACAGGAGAGGGGCCTATGCATTTGAAACAGACACCAGTCCTGAGAGGCAGAGAGAACCCTAGGCTGGTCTCTGCTGGGAGGGCCAGTGAAGTCAATGAACCTGCCGGAAGGCCAACTTGGAGACTCCGGGGTTGGGGGTCTCTTCACACCGGTGCAAGGGACAGCGAAGGACCTGGTCCCCTCTCCGAGGGGATTTCTTTTCTCTCGACGAGATCACCGGGGGTAGTCCCTTCTAAATTCTAGGGATCAATAGGGCCCCCCTTACGCTTAGAGGTGACGGGGGCTGTGACGCTCCCAGAGTTCCCCTCAGGCCCGGAGAAAGACTCC